GCAGGGAGAACAGTCCAAGGAGGGATGTGAGGGGTCATTAATGATGTTACAGGTTTGGGACATGCAGCGCTGGGATGAAATGTCTTTAATGGAGGGAAGAGGAGCCCTGATGATCTTCTCTGCTGTCCTTGTTGTGCCTGTCTTCTTACATTCATCCAGTCGGAGGCTCTGCAGCCACCAAACAACACAGTGTCACATCTGGTAGTGAGGGACAAAAAATAATTAAAATGAATAGATAAATAAATGAATAAAATAAATTGTCCTCTTGTGAATGTGTGTGTATGTGGGTATGCCTGTGTTACCCTGCCATGGACTGCCCAAAGACTGATGGAGAAAAGGACCAGACCCCTGTAGACCTCCGGACAGTCAGAAGAAGGAAGTGAAGTTTGCTTGAGAGTCAAACTTTTTAACATACTTTATATTTTTATTTTATGGTTGTGAATAATGCTGAGCTATAGTGTTCTTGATTGTTATCACTTTGTTAACTTTTTTTTTCTGGAAACAATTGCAGATATCTCTGGGGACTGTAATGATCCAAAGTGATGTACTGGTTTCATCACTGCTTGTTCCAGTTGACAACAATTGCTGCTGTTTTTCAAATGAAGGTGATCATTATTGTGGTCCACTGTGAGCTGTTCCTTAACAAACACTTACCAACAGTTTCTGATGGTAATTAGTCCTTTGGGAGAAACACAGAGGTTCAGAATTAGATGTTAATTAGAGCGCATCGAATAACACTAATTACTAGAGGGTTATAGGGAAATTCCCCAAAGTCTAAGGGGACTCTTTTGTCTAAGTATGATAAACTTATTACTGATTATGAACATATAATGAGACAAGTAAGTTGGGTTTGACCCAATATGGTAGAGCAAGAGAAAGTTTACAATCTATATTGCAAAATGCTTTCTGGACGCTTGGAGTTGGAGGCTGGCTTCTGTTGTGCAAATAAGTTTCAAAGTGCTGCTATTTCTATGGTGGCAATTTCTCCTGAATGGACAGTGGGCCAAAAGAGTGGGGGGTAACTGCTTCCCCTCTGGCTTAGTTAGGCAGTTCTGCTGGAGATGGAAATAAATGTGTGATATGTGTTGGGAAGTGGAGTGTTAAAGAATAAAAGAAGTAGATGTCCACATTGTGAAAAATTATAACCAAAATCAGCAATCAGAACATCAGCGCAGAGGGGAGACAGATGTACACATGAACAGTGAGGGCAAGGTAGGACATGGCAATTCTCCTGCCTCTGGAGAGAATATGCCAAAAGGATGAGAGGCTGAATGGAAAAGCAGAGAAAAGACTGTTGAAATGAGGCATGTTCCAGAATGAAGAGGACAATGCTGCAACACAGTGACCCTGGCCAAAAAATGATCTGGCATCTACCAAGGAAAACTGGGATGGTAAAGGATAGCCCACAACTGTGAACAAAGAGGCACAGGACTTCAACTGGCAGCATGAACACGTTACAGACTTTTTTATCCCAGAGTGAAGCAGTTCAACAACCTGTGGTTAGGCAGAAATAACCCCAAAATCAACAGTAGACATTGGTTGCATAAATTTAATCGAATGCTGGAAAATCAAAAAGGAAGATGGCTCTTGCTCATGACTCATATCCTTTAAATGGTTGCATAAAGAAGCGGCCCCCAACCTTTTTATCACTGCAGACCGGTCAACGCTTACCAATTTTACCACAGACCAGGGGCATTGTTTATATTGCGAAAATAATAATGAACATGAATCCACTGTGTTCTCGTATGCAACCTTATTAGCAGCTTCCTAGTAACATTGCACTATCAACATTTATTTAACATAATCTCTGCCCCCTAGACAAAAATACAAGTTGGAAAATATATAAAGGGGAAAGAGCAATTTCACATTTCTTTCGCGATTATTTTATAAACAACATTTTTTCTATTATCAAAAAGTCAGTTTGCTTGTGCTCTGAGAAGGATGCAAATACCTGGATGCAAGTACCCAGTTCAATCCCCACAGCCTGCACTCTGGGTCTCTCAGCAAGGCCCTTAACCCCACACTGCTCCCCAGTCTCCACACAATGGCAACCCACTGCTCCCCATGGGAAAGGGTTAAATGCAGTGATTTCATTTTGTTGCTCTGTTAAAAAAAAGGAAACGCTCTCTGACCTTCATTTTTTTTAAATTCTAAATTAATCTAATCCCTATTTATTTATTTATTTATTTATTTATTTATTTATTTATTTATTTATTTATTTATTTATTTGTATTTAAAAAACAAATCTAATCCCTATTTAACAAGGAAAACAGTTATCTTTGTTTGAGCTTCCATCTTTGTTCAAAGTCATGGGTTTTCTGCAGTGACAGCTACTGAAAAGAAAGGAGTAGACTGGACATAGGTAACACACTTTGGGTGTTATTGCCTCCCAATGGCCCCAGATGGAACCATCTCGTTGCAGAGAAACAAGCTCAGGGTTGCCATTGATTTAGCATTATGGTGAGTTAAAATTCATGAACTTTTTATTACTTTTTGTAGCCGTACCTTTCTGTACCATGGAGCTCTGCATGGTGCTGAGTCCAGTGTAACAGAGGGGTAACAGGAAGAACTGAGTGTTCCTGGTACCAGCTATAGTTCTAGTACAGAATGAATCTAGACTGGATCAACATCTCTGGAGCATCAGGTGATCTCCACCAGCCAGTTCAAAGCCACTTAGACATTTCTAGCAGATGTCTAAGGATGGGCCGTCTCCAACTCCAAGCAGCTTTGACTTTTGACTTAGCCCGAGGCTTGTGTACAGAGATAGCTTCATCCTCCAGAATGTTCATTAATGCATAACTCATCTGCTGTCCGCATTTTCCAAAATTTCTCTGAAACTCTCTTCAATAATACATGAGCCTGGTCATTTAAATTTTGTGGTTATGCAAACTTAAGCAGAAGCTAAGTACTCAAAGTTTTAATAATTATATATACACTCATGTTATAGATTGAAATGTATTATTTAATTTTATTACTTTGTACTCATAAGTGTACTCATCATTTTCTGCTCATCTGGGACCAGGTTGAAGGTAGCCTCGTGAGACCATCCTGATCTCGTGAGTTTTCAAGATTTCACTCGCTAATCAGTCTGGAAACTCTCCGTTAAAGAAAATTTGGAGCCGTTCACCAAACGAACGTCCAATCAGCGCTGGCTTCGAGGCGGGTTGAGGTGTGACGCAAAGAGAAGCGCGACAGTTCAGTCTAAAGAACATGGCGGCGTTAGCCGATGAAACTAACGTTAGAGTGGCAATCGAGCAAGTTTTATCGGAATTACAGAGTATTTCTTCACTGAAAGAAGAGCAAAACACTGCTCTGGAGGCTTTTCTCAGAGGAAAAGATGTTTTTGCTCTTCTCCCAACTGGTTTCGGCAAGAGTTTGATCCATCAATTGGCTTGTGCTTACGTCATATGCTTCGTTGATCTGATTGGTTTATTTGGCCCGTCTATCACCAACATAGGCCAATCAGCTAACCAGTATTTTCGCCCCTTCCCAAAATTACTTCAAAGGAAGGTTTCGAGATGGATATGCGGAGCAAATCCATCTGGTGGAGTCAGGTTAGGTTGAAGGGGCCACAGTCTTAGAGAAGACTCCCAAACTCCTTTTCTCCCTCGAATGCTCCTCCATCTCCTCTGGGGGAAGCTAGAGGCATTCTTAGGCCAGCCAATACACAAAGTCCCATCAGCGTGTCCTGGGCCTCCTTTGGAATGTGCCTGCAAAGGAGGCATCCAGGGGGCATCTGCAAAAGACAGCTGAGTCACCTCAGCTGACTCCTCTCTATGAGGAAGAGAAGGAGCTCTGAGTCTCTCCCAGATAGCCGAGATCCTCACCCAACCTCTAAGAGATGGCCCAGCTACCTCGAGAAAGCTAAATTAAGGCGACTTTAAACAGTATCTCGTTCATTGGGTCATGATCCAGATTTCATGTAGTAGTAGTGAATGGCTACAGTATTAGTACAGTACAGTACTAGTCCACTGATGTTTGGGGGGATCAGAGTATGGAAAACAATGAAAGCTTGTTACCAATATTAGATTATTGAAGTTAAAGGAGAAGTTCGGTTTTTAACACTTTTAGCCCATTTTCTGTAGTGTCCAGGATGAAATCGAATGATCGACACCAAAATTTTGACAATTGGTCCTGTCTCTGCTTTTTGGCTCATTTAGAATCCACCCCTGGCTGCTTTAGAATGGCTTCCATAGAGCATGTCCGATAATGTCCTTAAAACAACCTTAAACGTTCTTTTTTTTAAATATGCTACTCACCGGGTCGTCAGCGCTGTTCAATGACATTCCAAAAAAAGTTTCGTAAAGAAAAAACGTTCCTGTGGTGTTTTATTTAGCATTTTGTAAATCCCATTGAGTTCTGTTGGAATAGTCAATATTCCCCTGCCACCGGAAACGGAAATGGGGCCTGTTTACACAGTTGTAGTCTTTTCGCTTCACTCTGTGTACTCCGACGTCATCCTGGACACTACAGAAAATGGGCTAAAAGTGTTAAAAACCGAACTTCTCCTTTAATACATTTGTCACATTTTCCTTTCAATTTCACTATTATGACTTTCACAACAGTATTCATTCACTTTGCTCTTATCTAGCATTAATTATTCTAATAAAACACATGTAAATTTGTTGATTAAGTCATCAAAAGTGTATCATCAAGCTTTTCTTCCCGACCGCAACAGAACCTACTAACAGTGAATATGGTCAGAACCAGAAACTTTTCCCACTGTTGTACCTGAAGCCTATGTTAACTGAAGTTATGCTCATTTATTTCCGAACCAGAAGTCTGATGTCCAAAAGAAAAATGTACTAAAAGTTATGGAATCAAATGTGAACTATTGTTTTAGAAATCAAAGTATGAATGTGAAGATGAAAACTTCTTGGTTGGCTCTTTGGTGCTGTTTCTATAGATGATGACATTTCCCTTTGAACATTACATCACTCACTGTGCTGAGATAAATATGCTCCATTGAAGCTGCACCTGCCCCTGTCTGGCCATCATCACTGATGGATTGTGAAATACGTCTTTATTTCCTCATACGTTTGCTTTTTTGATTAATGCTCTATTTATTGTTGTTCATATTAACTCCTCTGCTGGTTTATTACAGTTTAAAGTTATTGCTTTATTTATTAATAGATTTAATACCGAATTGATTTTGGCTGTTTTCCTCAATCGGATGGAAAACTACACTTTCAACAGCTTTGTGCTGCAGATGGAGGGCATAAATGTCACAAAGGATTTACTTTATACCATATTTTTCTTGTTATTAACTTTCTACATTGTTACCATGATCCTTAACGTGGGATTTCTGATTCTAACCGTTATTGACAAGAACCTTCATCAGCCTATGTATCTTCTTTTTTGCAACCTGACTGTTAGTGACATAGTTGGAAGCTCTCAGATCTTTCCTAGGATGTTGTCGGATCTTCTGAAGCCTCCGTCGGAGCGCCTCATTGGTTATTATGAGTGTGTGATTCAGGCTTTTGTTAATCAGTGGTTTAGCAGTACCTCCCACACGGTGCTGATGGTCATGGCCTTCGACAGGTACGTGGCCATCTGTTATTCTCTGCGTTACTCAGCCATCATGAACAACAGCATGGTGATGAAGCTTTCATTGTCTGCCTGGGCAGTGCCTCTAATTTTTGTTGTGGTTTTGATTGGACTCTCAGTGAGACTGAACAGATGCAGGACTCTGGTCTCCAACCCTTACTGTGACAATGCCTCTTTGTTTAAGCTTTCCTGTGACAGTGTCGTTATCAATAACATATATGGCCTTTTTTACACGGCGGTGCTTTTGGGGTCATCTGTCGGCTGCATCCTTCTGACCTACGGGAAGATTGTAGTGGTTTGTTTTACCAGCAAGAACAAGTCATTGAACAGAAAGGCCTTCAAAACCTGCAGCACTCACCTGGTTGTGTATCTCATCATGTTCTTCAGTGGGTTTACTGCAATCGCTCTGCACCGCTTCCCTCAGTACTCTGACTACAGAAAAATAACCTCTCTTCTGTTTTTTGTTGTACCCGGCAGCCTCAACTCCATCATCTATGGGGTTCAGTCCAAAGAAGTAAGATCCTTTTTATCTAAAATTTTTATATCCAACAGAAACAAGTGAGATTGACGTTTGTTTATTATTTTGATTTATCAAATAACCTTCCGAAGCAAGTTGTAGAATAAGTTACTTCTGACAATGACTGAAACAAGAAAGGTTGAAGCAGAAAATTAGTGCTCTACATCTAGGAGGGGCTCATGCTGATGGAAGCATGTTTGAGTTTTATAAAGCTTGAAATCATATTTGCAGTCTTCTTGATTTGTGCCTCAAAATAAGAAAAAAAAACATCAGGTTTAATTGTGAGAACAAATAATAAAAACTGACAGCTGAATAGTGGAAATATGAACATTATCAAGACAAGGGCTTAGAAAACATAATACATAATCAGTTTAAATCAGTTCACAGAAATAAAAAAGGCCCTAACCTCAGAATAAGAAAGACTCTTTCATCTTTTCTCTGTCACAAATAAAATTCAGTCGCAGGTTGACTGTTATTGACGTCTGACAAAGCAGACATTGAACACAGGCGTAGACTCTGGGGAACTTCAGGAATTTAGACAACCAGGCAAAAGGATGCCTATGGACATGAACTGTACACAGCAATGGCGTTCTCCTCCAGGTCTCAGCTTTAGAGAGAAGAGCTAATATCACTTACAGTCTGAAGAAAATGTGATTAAAATAAAAATAAAAAAGTTGAATTTTGCCTAATCAGTGAATGATAATCTCAGTTTTGTTCTGCCCTTTTAGATCATCCTTTTCATCTTGACTTTGTTGGGTTTTTTAATCATTATCTCACCTGTTTTTAGGGAAGTTCTTACACTTTATTTGCATACAGCTGCCATCTACAGCTAGATGCAGCTCAGGACAGATGAAACCCTGTCAGACTGAACGTAGGGCCAGTGCAACTCCTCACCTTTCACTCATCATCACACACATCCCTGTGTGAGCCTCACACTGGAGCCCCAATGCTATGGAGGGGACAGGCCCACTTGGCAGCCATCTTTCCCAGGTTTCTGCAGATAATATCAGTCATGTTCAGTTTCCTAACGTTGATGACTGTTTAATTTTTGCACATTTTTTCCTCTTCTCTTCTATCTTGTTAAGTGATTGTGAACAAGATAGATTAATCCAGGATTTTCCAGATATCCTTATGGCACTGGTGCCCTGGCCTGCACACGCATTAAAGGGCAAACATCCTGCAAAATCAACTTTTTGAATTTTTAACAATGTTCTAATGCTGTTCCTTCATCACAGTGGTATTCAGCATGATTCATTCATATCTTAGTGATCCACATTAATTCTGCTGTCTGAGCAGCAGACCCTCCCTGACCTTGGGAAAGGCACGGTTAGAGAATATCTGTGTTAGAAAGAAGCAGCTAGCTTAGCCAGTGCTATAAACAAATGGCCACTTTTTATTATCAAGGATCGAGGAAGAGGCAGAACGGCATGATTTTTGGTTCTAAGTTGAGGCCAAGTGGCTCTTTTAGCAGCTAATCCGCGCAGGGTAGCAACTTGACTAATTTAGCTAAGAATCGCCTTTTTAGCTATAATAGACCTTGTTCAGCCCTCAGAAGTGGTTTGATATGGCGACATTCTTAAATGGATGTTACCCAGACAGGAGAGGCAGCTTCACCTGGAAGGCTCAACCAGACCCATAAGTTAAGACTTTTAAAGGGACATAGTCGCATTATAGCATATGACTATATAAGAAAGACTGAAAACTTTTTCTTCCTGATAAAAAGCTTAATTTAAACCAAAAATCTATTCAGATATTAGTGTGTTATTAGTCATTTTTGTGCCTCATTAGAATTCCAGCACTGGGAGCAATAAGCTAATAAACAGATGCAGGGGCGCCATCTGCTGGAAGAATGACGGAACTACCAGAAAGTAAGATGGCAACAACTGGCACAGCTACTTAGTAGAGACACACTGTCTCATAATGCCTTGCTGTAAATGTTGACTTGTGTTTTAGGAGGGACAACGGAAGCCAAAATTGGTATCTGGCAAGCCAGTTTTGAAAAATGGTATATGCCAGTTGGAAATCGGCATATGCCAATTTCATTAAAGGTCCTACTTGGGCATTGTATTTTTGTTATCAAAAAGTAATGTTTATATATGTAGTTGTAAAATGTTTATATGTTGAAAAGAAAATTAAACAGTCACTAAACCAAATCATGTTGTTGTAATTGTTTTGACAATGTGACTGAATGTCCCTAAAATGCCAGCATATTGTCAGTATTACATTAGGAAGTAGATCGTGAGTGATCTGCTAAGCATTAGCCTAGCCACTATCTGCACACTTCCTTCGTGTTCTTTGTCTCTAGTTGCAAACAAGTGATTACTGCTCCAAACACGGGCCAACCAAAGGCCTCCACCTTCTCCAGGAACTTAAACCGCTCCCTGGCCCAGGCAGTCAACCAACCTTCTCTGAAAACCTCCGCAATAATCCCAGTGCTAAAGAAATATCCCATCACCAGGCTGAATTATTACCACCTACTGTCACTCAGAATTTTCAAATGTTTGGAGGCAACGACTCTACATTTGGTGTCTTGTTAAATTTATGTAATTATGTTTCCTGCAGCCAGAAGTGATCTTAATGTCATGGTTTTATCAAGAGCTCGGACCCACATGCAGAGAAACCAATTCAGAGAGACCAGGGGAAAGGTTTAATAGGTTTTATTGAAGAGATAATGCTGAATCAAGTGTTGCTCTGAACACTGCTCAACTAGAACTGAAAAGTGAGGGGAAGACACAGTGGTTAGTTCAGGCTCAGTAGGAAATTTGGTTCTTCAACTTGAAGAGGAGAATTTGGTTGCTGACTCACGTTTCCAGAGAAGTTGTTGTCTCTTTGACTCCAGTCTGTGTGTGGTAGTTCCAGTGTTTGTCTGATTCGGTGGAGGGCGGACAGGGTTTACCCAGAATGCGGTTGTTTGTAGGTGAACGTAGAAGCTGACTGCCACTCAGATTTCCTGCGGTACTTGAACGGATCGTAGTGAAGAGGAATCCCTTGCTCAGTGTGAAGCTCAAACGATCTCTTGAGGGGAAGTAGATTCAGACCTCCAGTTTAAATCCTCAGCTCACTTTGAAGCTCAGATGATCCTTCCAGGGAGAGAAGGTCAGAAACATCCAGTTTGCAGGATGACTTACCAAAACTGGCAAACACTCTGCCGTCGAGGTAGTGGCAGTCAGCAGCTTAAGAGTGCTCAGTTAACGAGGTAACCCTCTGCAGGTATGTAGGGAGGCGGACCAGAACCAGGCGCCTCCTGGTGGAGGAAGGGAGACAAACACAGAAACAAAAACACACAGACAGGAATCCTGACACTTAAATATCTTCTACACAAGAAAAGAGTCTTCAGAGTAGAAGACAGGAAAGTAATGATGAGAATAAAGAGGTGACTGATAAGACAAAGCAAGGAAGCACAGCGGAAGAGGTTGGAAAGCAAACAGCAGCAGAACCATACCAGAGAGGTGTGGCCAGGAATGAAGAAGATCACAGGCTTCAAGCAGAAGGATGATGACAGATGGAAGTCTGGACAGAGCCAGTTAACTGAATATAGTCTTCAACAGGTTCAGTTCAGGAACAGGCTCAGCATCTTTATCTCCAGAACATTTTACATTATCATTTCAGAAACTCAGATGGAGTCATCAACAATCACCTGGATTGTTGATGCCTCCATCTGAGACCAAAGTTTGTTAGACTGAAGGGTCAGCTTACAAATGTTCAGTCTTTTCATCATTTTTAAAGCTGAAGATCAAGAATAATGTTTATTCTCTTAATTTTGTAACATTATATGCGAACATTTCTCTCTGAAATAAAGCTAAAACATTCAAGGGTATTTTGGGATTTTATCCACAATAAATTGTGTTTAGTGCTTGATTTTGTTCTTCATTAAAGCCTTTAGGCCAATATCTTAGTGTTGGTCTCTATCTTGTTGGGATCCTCAGGCTTGCCCACCAGAGGGCGCCGAGGATCCTCTTCTGTTATTATGTTTTCTCTTAGTACTGGAGTTACTGTTGGGATCTGGAGCTTTACCACCTTCCTCCAGCAGAGTGCGCCGTGGGTCTCCTGGAGCTGGTATCTTCCAACACACCTGAGACGCATCTACTCATCAGGAGACCTTCCCTTTATAAACACCTGCCAGACCTTGCTTCCACGCCGCAGTGTTGATCTTAGTTTGGAAACCTGTCGCTAGTCTAAAGCTCTGGGTGAGCTGCCTCACTGGAAACCTGTCTCTGGCCTGAAGCCCTGGGAGAGCCGTCTCACTGGAACCCTGTCTCCGGCCTGAAGCTCTGGGTGAGCTTAACCTGCTAATCAGCCCTGGTGAGCCAACCTGAAGATTCCTATGTGGAGTTTACCTGAGGATTCCTAAGTGGAGTCAACCTGAAGATTTCCTATGTGGGTATCCCCTGCTGTTCTCTGTGAAGAGCTGGTAGCTCAGATCAAGGCCAGCCATGTTAAGTCTGAAGCTAGACGCTTTAGCTCCTTCTGAACTCTGCTAACCAACAGTCTCTGGTCCCTGTCAAGACTTCAGTAAACCAGCCTGAACCAGTTCCAGATCCAGTTCATAATTGTGTTTTTGTGAAACCTCAATAAACTCTGTTGAACTTTTTTCCAGCCTCCGTTGTGTTCTGTTCTCCGTTGACTCTTTGACCCATCATGACATATCTCTCCTCTGGTTCAGAGGAGAGATAGAGACCAAGTGATCAAGTGATCCACTCACTCTGCTCTGATTGGAGGCTTAAAGTCTCCAGCTGAATGGCTGATTAGGAGGTCAATAGTTTTACATACAGGTCAATTAATGAGAGGCAGTTTATGGTTGATAAGATCGGACCTAGGTCTCATGGTTTTTGTCCCTTCTGGGTCTGGTTGAGCCTCCTTTTTGGGACCATAGGTTAGACGGTTTCTGTCTTCTCTTCATTTCCCTGAGGAAAATTCGGGTTCCCATTCACTCACTGGTGTTCTGGACACGTTGACTCTGGGAAGTTTCACCTAGAAATAAAAATCTGTCCTAATATCAGCACCCACCTAAGATCTAGTGATACCTAGATCCATCTAGACCCATCACAGAGGATCTGTATGAACTGTATGTCATGGTGCTGAGTTTTATTCTATGCTATGTTTTTCATAAAGGGCAACCAGGAAATCATCAAGTCACATCAAAAGCCTGAGTTATAGGCTTCCCTACCCAAAGATGAGAAAAATACATAGCAAAGTGCAACACTGTGTTAATAGCTCAATATTTGCACAAATAATATGGTCAGTGAGAGACTGTAAGATGCCAATGTGACAGCAGTACTAGAAGCAGACAGTGGTCTGTCTGTGTGACATGTCCAATGAATATGGTCAGGAAGAGCGGATGCAAAAGGCGCAACAGCCATGGTCAGGAAAAAACGGCAGAGCCGGCAGAATTTGTTAGTTCCTTCTCTAACATTATGCTCTATCTACTTTATCTAATAGTAGCTTCATCTGGTCTGTTCCTGTTTGGCTGTGACTCCATCCTGGAGAGAAATAAGAGCTGTGCTGCTGCCATCAACACCTTTGTTTATAGATGTTGCAGCTTGGCCTGTTTTGCAGTGTGGTCCTGTTTCTCCTACTGTGACTAACTGTATTTTCTCTTTCAACTTCTGACATGGTAGCAGGCTTGGAGCTGGTCTGCCTGGTTGTGTGTTTTGTATCTCTGCTTCTTTCTCTATGTCTGCTTCTGTCTCCTTGAACCCCAGTCAGTCTCAGCAGATGGCTGCTCTCACTGAACCTATTTCTGCTGGAGGTTTCGTCCTCTTAAAAGGGAGCCTGAAGGATTGTTTTCTGAGTCAATCCATCAATTGAGCAGTTTAACTGTATCATTTGCTTGAATTGTCTCTGTAAAGTGCCTTGAGATGACGTGTGTTGTGAATTGGCACTATAGAAATAAACTGAACTGAAGTAAGTAGACCAGTGACTGCACATTATTCTGTTCATATGAGACTGCCATTGGACCTTTAGATTATAGTACAATTAAATGAAGATTGTTTGAGTTAAAAATTATGAATGTTACAAAAAAAAAAAAAAAACGAAAGCTGTAAACCCAGCATATAGTGAGAACAGTTACTCAGTATGAAGGCCTGCTGGCTGTGATGTCATCATGAAGGTTCCAACATACAGATGTGCATTAAGGCTGCTGGTAGGGTGGGGCTGAATATGTTTCCTCAACACCTGTAGGAGGTGTTAAAGAAAAACTAAACGCATTAAATGGAAAACACACTTCCTCAACAATCAGCCCTCCACATACTGAGGACAGACTCTCTGAATGCTCCTATGGCTCTCTGCTGATCTGTTTCTTCTATTAGACGCTGTTTCTCTTGCAGGTGCTGTTGTTTAATCAGATTTTGGTCAATTTAACAGTCAGGTCTCTTGTTTGTATAATCAGCCATTATCTGTGCAGCTTACTGAATATTTTGCTATGGATTGCCTTCGAGTCAATGAGTCGATGCAATCAACTGGTTTTCTTTAGATAGAAAACTCTGAATCAGTTTGACTGTAAGATCTGGCTGAGTTGAATTAAAGTGGCTTGATGACATGTGTTGTAAATTGGAGCTCTAGAAATAAACTGAATTGAAGTCAATTGAATTATAACTCCAACACTGACTGTTTAATTGCTAGTCAGGACTTATAATCCTTGTTAAGATGTGTGATTTTTTTATAGGCTCCCACTTCTCTGGATGGAGAACCTAACGACTGGCGCTCCTCTTAAACAGCCGATCGTTTTTAAACTAGTGGGTTTTGATGTTCCACCAGGACAGGGCCCGTTCCTCTTCTTCTTGGCCCTGTTCGCCTACATAGTGGTGCTGCTGGGGAACGGTGTGGTGATCTGTGTGATCATGAAAGACAGGAACCTGCACAGACCCATGTTTGTGATGATCTGCCACCTGGTTGTCTGTGATCTGCTGGGGGCCACGGCGGTCCTTCCTCGCCTAATGATGCACTTCCTGATGGGGCAGCAGAAGATCTCCTACCTCCCAGCCATCGCTCAGGGCTTCTGTGTGCACACATACGGTGTTGCTATGCAGACCATTCTGGGGGTGATGGCCTATGACAGGTGAGTTGGTGAACCAGGGTTTTCAGGAAATGAGCAACATCTCGAACCTTTACTGTTGTCCCAGTGTGGAAATGAGTGGAAATGTTCTGAAGTATTCCTGAGCATTTTGCTGCCACTCTTCCTTTGTTCTGATGTTTCCCTGCTGAAATGAATGTATTCCTTTTTGTCCTTCTGAAGCCTTTATGGTTTTACCTGGAAGGATGTCACGTCTTTGTACTTGTTTCATATTATAGTTGATTGATAATAGAAGTATGAAACCTTTAATGTGTCCATCTTGAAGTGTTATCATTCCCCCACCATAAATGCTTTAAAAGTACATTTGAATCCATTTGTGTCTGAGTGTTTCTCTGCCGGCGCCGTCTCTCTGCAGGTTTGTGGCGGTGTGTGAACCTCTCCGGTACCACTCCATCATGACTTCAACCCGGCTGCACTGCTGCTGCGCTCTGGCCTGGATCGTTGCCCTGCTGCTCATCGCCGTGCTCTTCTCCTTCCACATGAACGTCCCGCTGTGCGGCCGGGTCCTCCAACATGTCTACTGCAGCAATCGGATCATAATGAATCAGGCCTGCATTCCCACCCCAATTAGTAACATCTACGGTCAGTGCACATAAAGGTTTTGACACAAACTTTAGCTTAGGACATAAGTGAGACCTCAAACCCAGTTGAAGACCTTTAATCCTAAATGTCTCTGCAGTTGCTTTATGCTCTAGACCGTCTCTAAGAGGATGTTCACTTACCAACTCTGACCCTCTGTCTCTCTTTGCTTTATAGGTTTGTCCATGACTTGGTCTGTGAGCACAGGGATGTTCATCATCATCGCCTTCTCCTACGTCCGAATCCTCAGGACATCCTTTAAGCAAGGAAGAACCGACAGCAGCATCAGAACCAAGGCCTTCCAGACCTGCACTTCACACCTTGTCGTTTACGTCTTTTATGAAATAGCTACACTGATCATAATCGTTAGCTACAGATTTCCATCTGCTTCTCAAAACATGAAGAAGTTTCTCAGCATCCTGTTCATCATCGTCCCGCCAGCAATCAACCCCATCATCTACGGGCTGGTCAGTAAGGAGCTACGGGCCGGCATAATTAGACAGTTTGCCCCCAGAACCTCCCATAAAAACTGACCCTATAATGCAGAAAAGATGATGTTGATGATGTAATGCTGTATAAATCTGCTATTTTTCTACTAATGATCCATAAAAACTTTCGACCCAGCTCACTCCAGTTGTTCTGCGCTTCTAGTTTAAATCTGAAGCATTTTAAAAAAAGTGCTTCTATGTTGAAGCACATAGAAAATGTGAGAGCTGCCACTGACCCTGCCTGTACCCCAACCACACAGTCCCACGACACACTCACCTGCTGTAACATCCAGCTTCTGTTGAAAAATCATCTGTTGTGCATAAAGTTTAGATAATTTCCTCAGCTTCCTTTCTAGGAAGCTTCCAGACCTGCAGCTGAAACAGTGTGTTTAACCTTTCAGTCACAGAAACCTCCTTAATAAATCTGTTCTCTTCAGCTGGACTGTTTTCCTTCACTTATATCACTTCTTTTTGCTGTACAGTCAATTGTAGTTTGAAAAATATGCTCAATTTATTACAATTGAATCATCATAATGCTGAGTTTTTCCTTAAAGGGAGTAGATAAGCTGTTTTAGACACACTTTGATTGATTTTGCACAAAGATTATGTTTTGCCTCCAAGATGCAAAGTGGAATCACTTCTGTTAAGTTCAATAAAATTTGTCCCATAGTTGGACCACCTGCACCATCTATACATCCTTAAGCCAATTATAGCATGAAACAAAATCCTGACCTAAATAACATTTAGCTGCCTCAAGCAAATTGCCTTTTGCTCCAATCATACTCACCTTTGTTGTTAATTTCCATATGTATTCATTGTATTTTTCCTCTAATCTTGTTGCTCAGTTTATTATTTAGTATTTAATGTTGTGACCTTTGTTGGGATCCATTTCAGGTCTTACGTTGATTCTGGTTCCAGCCTGAATAATTGTCTCTTTGGATAATCACAAACCTCCAATGCATTCACTGATGTACATCTTTTTCTCTTTTGGCCTGTTTACCTAAAACCTGCTACTGGAAAACAAGACCTGGTCCCCAAAGATCGCACATGTAATTTTATAAGTACCTGCAATAAGTTGACGTGTTGCAGTTGAGCTACATAGATCAATGCATAAGTTTCACCTGCTAACATCAGCAGAGAGCAGATGAAGTTCTAAACTATGGAAACAAAGAAAAAAATCATTTAGAAAATGCAATTTTTATTTCTAAATAATATTTATAAAACATCTTACATTGGTTACCTGTCACTAAGTGCTTCAAACAAAATTAGTAACCTAAAATGGTAACACTAACAAAATGTATGTGTAAAAAATTAAATATCATGAAACATGAGAAAGATTTTTGCTTGTTTGTCCCAAAGTTTTTGCTCTAAAGACCTCTGAATCGTTTACATGTCAGATTTTCTCTGACTTCCAGAAGTAAAAAAAAAACTTGGTCCCGGTTTAGTTTCCTTATGGTCATAAATTCTGGTCAAATGTATTTTGTATAATAATAAGTATATTTGTCTATATAAAATAGATTATATTTGCAAAGCATGATTAAACAAGTCACAGATTCGTCACTCAAAATCCTAATTCTTTCTTTCTTATATAATCTTTATATAAGTTACTTTTTTCAGATACAAAGCAAACATCTTTGTGTAAAACTCTGTGCTTCAACTTTTTAACTTGCGTGTCACTTTTCATTTTCAAGCTTAAACTGTGATGCCTTTCCCTATGATATCATCCTGATTGGTCAATGTCATGTCAATCATATAACAGTCCAATCAGAGAATAGATGGGTTTTATTACACATGGTGCTTTGAGCTGATGCAGGTCCTCGAAGCATCATGGCTGATGGCACCACCAGCTCTGGCTCAGGTAGACCTAACTTCTTGTCATAAACGGGACAGATGGACGCAGTATTAAATGTCACACAGGCAGTAGGAAAGTTTGAAATGTTTATTAACAAAAAAAATAAAAATGACAGAAAAGATGCAGAGGAAAGCAGGTTCCTACCAAACAAGAGCAGACCCCCCCAGAGTGGCCCAGATGCAGCAACCTCAATGAGCAGGCAGGAATCCGACCAAAGTCAGGGAAACAGATCAAACAGTAACAGTTCTGGAATCCAGGAGTCCGCAGCATGGTCAGGGGTTCCGATCCACACAGGAACAGACAGATCAAAGGTTTCAGGAATCCACTGAGCGTGAAGACAGGTTCAAAGTTCCATGCGTTGAGCAAAAAGCTGAGACAGAATCGCATGGATGCAGACAAGCAGGCTGGTTTAGGGACACAAAAAAAGACATGGTCCCGAGATTACTGCAGAACTTTAAACTGGTCTCCACCTAGGAGCCAGGACATGATCAGGAGACAAGACAAGACAAACACTAAAAACCTCTCAACCTAAACAACCTAACTAAAACTAACAGAACAAACACACAACATACAATTTTCTTTCCCTGATAGCTGGACTGAGTCAGATATAAAGCAACAGACGCAGGAGGATGAGATGAGTTAAGCAGGTGAATGAAGTGAACAATTATGATCAGCTATCAGGGCAGACCATGACAGGAGATCAGGTAAATACTTATTCATATGGTGGCAAGTGAAGTCTGGGATGTCCGATGGATCCCAGTCTGAAATTGCAAAAAAAAAAGCTGGCAGGCTATTTATGGGGAACCTGCTCTGATAAGAGAACTGCCATCTAAATGTTCAACATATGTAGACATTGTTGGGTTAGAGCTTCAGCTTCTGGCTGTAATATTACAGCGCATGCAGGCGGTATGAGGCCATCTAGCATGGTGGCAAAAACAGACAGTGGACCGTGCATCTTCTATATCTGCCCTTTATTTTTCTAAATACATATTCACCAGTTGTGGAATACTGGTAAATATATGTGTTTCAGTTGTGGCATTCTGAAAGTATGTGTCTTCTGTATTTTGTAGCAGAACATTCAAATAGGTGAGCGTTAGATACAGTGATTCAGTATTTCATACAGAACCTTTCATAATGTGGATGTTTTTTTGATACCATCTTAGGGCCTTGATCTATTTTCGTCCAACTAGAGAACCGTGAGATTTCTGAGGCTTTTCTCTGTATGTTACTGGTTATATGTTAAGTTACCGACACTAAGTTTGTAGGCTAAAATTCTCAGTAAAGGTCACTTGTGTGTCTAAAGATTAGATCAAGCTAATTGTTAAACATCATTAGGTTCAAATAGAAAAGCTGATCCTCTTACACCTGCATAGCTGACAGCTCCAAACCTGTAAGTTTAAACTGGAACCTATCTAATGTGTACAAACCGGATTCCAAAATAGTTGGGACACTAAACAAATTGTGAACAAAAACTGATTACAAAGATGTGGAGGTGTCAAAAACAAATATTTTATTCAGAATAGAACACAAATCGCAGATCAAAAGTTTAAACTGAGAGAATGTATCATTTTAAGGGAAAAATATGTTATTTTCAAGTTTCATGGTCTCTGCATTTATGGTGCCTTTCCAGACATGCAAGCTGCCCATGCCACAAGCACTCATGCAACCCCATGCCATCAGTGATGCAGGTTTCTGAACGGAGCGTTGATAACAGCTTGGGTTATCCTTGTCCTCTCTGGTCCGGATGACACGGCGTCCCAGTGTTCCATTAAGAACTTCAAATCGTGACTCATCTGACCACAGAACAGTCTTCTATTTTGCCTCACTCCATTTTAAATTATCCCTGGCACAGTGCAAACAGCTGAGCTTGCTTAGAAATGGCTTCCTCTTTGCACTGTAGAGTTTCAGCTGGCAACGGCAGAAGACACAGCGGATTGTGTTCTTTGACAATGCTTTCTGGAAGTATTCCTGAGCCCATTCTGTTATTTCCTTGACAGTAGCATTCCTGTTTGAGGTGCAGTGACGTTTAAGGGCCCGGAGATCACGAGCATCCAGTAAAGTTTTACGGCGTTGACCCTTACGCACAGCGATTGTTCCAGATTCTCTGAATTTTTCGATGATGCTATGCATGGTTGATGATGATAACTGAAAAGTCTTTGCTATTTTATGCTGGGCAACACTATTCTTGTTTTCCTGCACTATCTTTCTGTGCAACAGTGGTGAAATACAGGTAGGTGATCCCAGGGGCGCAGATAGGTTTTTGAAACTGTGGGGGACAGTTACTATAGGGCTTGGTCATCGTGACGTAGGCACTTCGCGTCGCCGCCATGTTGAATGCGTCTTTTACCACAGCTCAGACTACTCCCTATGACTCCCGCATACTGTACTCCTTCTCAGCCGTGTTTTAATTTGATTAATTTCACCTTAACTTGATTTCAACCATGGTAAACCGTTGCTGTATTGTGGGCTGTAACAGCTCAACACATGATCGCCATGGAAACATAGAAAATGGGTTAACTTTCCACCACTTTCCTGACTGGAGGCGTAACCATGGAGACCAAGCGTCAGAGATAAAGAGAGCTAGCTTGGATCGCGGCTGTAAGACGACCGAACATAACTTTCCACAGTATTCCAATGTCATTGAGAGTGTGTTCCCTGCATTTTCATTCTGGTAAGTTAAAGATGCACGGTTTTATTTTATAGCCTACATTGTTTCTTTCCTTCAAAGTTGGGATCTTTTACGGGAAAATAATAAAAACGGCAGCGGGAAAATGCTCAAATACGCGAGAAACCCGGAGGGTTGGCAGTTAACGTTACTAACTACATCTTTGAAACACATAGCAGCTAGTTAAAAGTACATTACATGCGTGAGTGGTTGTTAGCATTAGCGGTTAGCAGTTGCTAAATTAGCAGGTTCCAGAGCCCCTCTGATCACAGTTTACCTTCGTACAGATTACTGTGTTCCCACTGTTTGCTGGCTTTATGATCTGCAGCTCCTGAACCCATCCATTCATGAACTGCACATGAGACTCCAAGGACTTGTAGCTTGGGAACTGTTTTGAAGTATAGTCGCTCACTCATCGGTGCTCCACTCATTGTTTGGAACTTTATATGGATCCAAATGATTAACAATGCTGATTTTGTCAACATACCGGTCCGTAGCTTCTCTATTTAATGTGTCCCGGTAAATTCCAGATCCTTTTCGGGATTTTAACATCTTTTTTCTCTCTACTTCTGTCTCTTCTTTCAACAACAACGTTGTGTCAGAGCTATGCTTACGTTTGCATAGCAGTCAGTATGGCTGCGACGTCCCACAATGCAACGTGGATCCCGAGCCCTATTACTGGCTATTACTCAGCTATGACAACCCATCAATCTTAATTGCCCATCATTGCAAGAAAATAACATGTATTGGTACCAAGTACTCACCAAACATGCCACATGACGTGTGAAAAAAAAAAGGTTTTATTTAAACATGGACTGACTTTAAGTGCAGGCTGTAAACACACAGAAACACAAACAGCAAAGCCTACATATATACAAAAACAAATTTGTAAATAAGTACTTTACATGGCTTTTCAATAAATGGCCTCATATGAAGAAAGTTGTGTGTCTACTTTGTCAAGGACTCTGTAGAACTCCACTTTGTGGTACTCCACAGCAGATTCTGGCCTGTGTGCAGGTGCTGGCCCAGAATATCTCTTTGGGGGCCTATGTGTTCGAGATAGAGCAATGGGCTCTAGAGACAGCTTCTCAGCCATATCCACTGCTTCCTTAAAGACTGCCTCAAAGTGGGCTGGCTTTCTTTTGTCCCGTAATCTCTCTTGGACAACTGAGACTGCAGAGACCATGCCCTCCAATGTCTGGGTGCTTTTTTGGAGCGATGTATTCAGCACTTCCAGTTCGCTCATTACATCTAAGGCCAGTGAGCCCCAGTAGCTCCAATTTCAGTAAAATCTCAGGCTTTTAAATGTTGTAAAATCACCCATAAGTTTTAGGTGTTTTAGTCCTTTATAATTAAATTTATACATTCAAAAAACATAAGTAAGTTATTATCAACGTCTCACTCTACTTAAAAGCTTTGTATTAACATTGCTTTAATGTGTGTTATTGTGTACAGCTGGGGATGTTAAGGGCCATGTTAATTATAGATTAAATAATTTACTGTTCTGTAGTTTAAGCACTTGTCATATTTGTAACATCACTAGTCTTTCCTGTGACATGCACCTTTTATTTATTTATATACACACACACACACACACACACATATATATATATATATATATATATATATATATATATATATATATATATATATGAGAGAGGGATTCTTTCCTCCGAGTTACAGTGACATAGACAAACTTGAAGATACATGACATCCTCAAATTTCTATTCTATTAAAATTTCTGTATCTGTATAATGGCTCTGTTCTATATGTTGGCTCTGTTCGAAAACCTAGGACGGGTCCTCCAAGGACGCGGTCTACCTAGACTGGATCCTTCGAAGTCCTTGAAAATAAGGAGACCGGAAGAGTTTTGGCTGTAAATTCGACCAGGTCTACCCTTTGGCGGGTTTTACCGCCGTATGCTTTGTTGCTTAGCAACCGTGAACGTTGACACACAAAGCAGGAAAAGAATAAATACAGAAGTTTTCAAAACTGTTTATTTATTTCTTTGTTATTGTGAAGTGAACAAAGACTACACTCACAAGAATCCAGAGTGGAATAAAGATTCCAACCACCGGGAGCAGGAACAAATAAAATCAAATGTAATGATAGAAACCTTAGTCAGTTAAATAACCTGCTGCTGTCATTCTGCACATCTCTGATGTTGCTGCTATTTTCAAATATCCATTACTGTAAAAATGTCCATAGCTGCATATTGGTTATTTATTCTCCAGTTTTATATTGTTAAAACACTTTACAGTATTTTATTGTTTATATTTTAACTCTTCCTATTATGTTATTCTTATACATTTTTCTAAGGTCCACATTTGTGTGACCATTTTCAATAATCTTTCTGCTGCTGTAAATTTGCCCATTGTGGGAAAATAAAGGGATTTTCTATTCTATTCTATAAAAGGGGTAGAAAGATATAAGTAAATCTAAACAATATATGTATAAAAAATATATCTGCAAAATCTCTAATATTCAACAACAAAAAATAGGAAGTTAAGCATATTGTGCAAAATAGCAATAAAAAGATTAAACTCCTATCAGATTTATAGTCCCCACCCTGCAAATATATTAGAATCTGTCCTTAAATTCCAGCCAAACCCATTTACACAGTAACAGATTAAAACCTTTAGATAAACCAAACATTACCGCCACATATCTGACTCTATAACCATTAAAACAACTATTTTCATTCATTTCAGACGGAACTATTCACAGAGTTGTATTATATTAAACTGAACTTCCAATTTTCACCACTGTTCGGCGCCAAGTAACCTTTCCTCTGATCACGGCTTGCTTGGTCTCGCAATGAATCCTGGGATATCCAAGAATACCGAGGATACATCGGACCCGTTCTTCAAATCGGGCAAAAAGAAGGACGCATTTTAAGGCCGCATAACGAGGACTCTTGGAATCCGACCAGACCTCGGCGCCGCGCTATGACGTAATCGGCCTTCGAATCCGGTCTTCTAAGGATGCGTCCTAGGTTTTCGAACAGAGCAGTTGTCTTCTCAATAGGCTCTATGCACAGCTCCACTACTTCCTGAATTTAAAGCAGCTCCTTTGTTTCCTGTCTTTCATGATTGGATGCACTGATTAATCCAGGTGTGTATGACCTAAGTAACTGGCCAGACACACCTGGATTAATCAGTTCGTCCAGTAATGAAAGACAGGAAACAAAGGAGCTGCCTTAAATTCAGGAAGTAGTGGAGCTGTGCATAGAGCCCATTCAGAAGGCCCCATGCCTGTCTTTGCCTAGGGCCCCAAATTTCCTAAATCCGCCCCTGTGTAGTGGAATTTGTCTAGTTTTGAAGTTCGTTTTTCTCATGATTCAACCTGTAACAACCTAAACCATTTGGCTTGGCATAAATACGGATTCAAGTAGCCTACTGTAGCCTACACATTTCTGAAAGACCCCCAACAACTCCAGAAAAGGTCGGAACAGTCGATTTAATTATACATAAATAAATGCCAGTCGATTCCCCCTGCCTCCCGCCTTATGACATTGGCACCTCTCTTCACGCTATTCTCACTGACCGTCTCTACTCTTTTTTTCCACGGCGACATCGAACAGACAACCAAAAAAATGCAATGTGATATGATACCGCAATGAACAGTTTACTTACAGTTGGTGCTTTTCGAAAAAAGGATGCAATTGTTTTCTGTTTTTTCGGTTTGGCTCGCCTCATGTTGATGTCCGGACTCCGGAATTGGGAACTGTCCCGCCACTACTGTCTGTCTGAGTAACCATGGAAACCAGGCTCGAGACGTAAACGCCAGAGACAGGATAACTTTTAGATTAGAATCTCTACGACGCAGGCAGCCTGCAGTTAAACAAAACGATTGCCTGTCTATGATCTGATTGTTTTATGTTGTTGTTGCAAAGCAGTAAATTAGAAAAAGCTTTTTGATTTTCTGTGAGTTTCGCCATATGTTTTTTTTTTTTTTTTTTTTTTTTTTTTTTTTTATTATTAAAAGTGGGGGGGACGGATTGAGGGTCATTCGAATCTGTGTACGTCAGAACACCCCTGACGTACACGCTATCTGCGCCCTTGGGTGATCCTCTTACCATCTTGGCTTCAGAGAGACACTGACACTCTGAGAGGCTCTTTTTATACCCTGTTGTTAATTGACCTAATTAGTGTTAGTTGGTCTTCCAGCTGTTCGTTATATGCTCAATATCCTTTTCCCAGCCACTTATTGCTACTTGTCCCAACTTTTTTGGGATCTGTAGGCACTGTGAAATTTTGAATCAACATATTTTTCCTTTAAAATGTTACATTTACTAATTAAAATTTTGAGCCGTTATCTACATTCTATTACGAATAAAATATTGACATTTGCCATCTTCAAATTATTGCATTCAGTTTTTATTCACAATTTGTTTAGTGTCCCAACTTTTTTGGAATCCAGTTTGTACTATGGCTGTCAGAACCTCTGCTACTTCAATTCTATTCAGTCCACTTTATTTCAATAGCGCCAATACACAACACTTGTCATCTGAAGCCAGAAACAATTCAACCCGATCATACAGTCGAATTGATTCAAAGTTTTCAATCTAAGGAAAACCAGCTGAATGCACCAATTCATTGAATCTGCAGCAATCCCTTACAAAGCATGCTTGTTGTGATAATGGAGATAAAAACTCCCTTTTAACAGGAAGAAACCTCCAGCAGAACCAGGCTCAGTGTGAGCGGCCATCTGCTGAGGCCGACTGGGGTTCAAGGAGACTTAGGCAGACATAGAGTAAGAAGCAGAGATACAAAAGGCCCTGTCTTGGAAACACACAGCCAGGCAGATGAGTTCCATACCAGCTCCCACGTCAGTGGATGAAAGAGAGCACACCCAGTTAGTCACAGTCAGAGAAACAGGACTACACTGAAAAACAGGCCAAGCTCCAACTTCTATAAACAAAGGCGTCGATGGCAGCTGCTCAGCTGATCTCTCTCTCTCCAGAACGGAGACAGCTAAACAGGAACAGACCAGACTATGATGAGAAAAAGTAGAGAGAGCATTTAAGTAATTAGGATTTTGTTTCCTTAAATTTTTGGTAGTTTCTCTGCAATATATTTATGATTTTAATGCTCTGAACAGATAAGAAGTCATTTCAGGCAAGAATTATTGATACAAAGTTGCACTTTATCAGAGGTTGTGCAGACCTCTGCATCTAAGGCCTCTATATCAGATGGATTTTAATTTGTTTGGGTAAATGGTAAATGGCATGTACTTATATAGCGCCTTTATTCAAGTTAGGAGACTTGACCAACGCGCTTTACACTACATTCATTCACCCATTCACACACACTCACACACGGGTCTATAACTCTTGCTTCTATAGAGCTGCAGACACACAGAGATTTCCCTACACTGAAGCTAAGTTTTCTAGTTTTCTATTTTTTTTTTCTGAGAACCTAAAGCCAAAGTTTAACTGGTGCTTTTAGTGAAGCTGGTCTCCACCGGGGGATTGGTTGTGTTGTTCCATTCCTCCCTACGGGTCACATAATGTTCTGGGCACCATTTAAACAGCAAACATCTTATTAAAGCTCCTGCATTTGATTCCAGACAGGAAGACAGTCCAAGATGATAGGAGGGAAACAGCAACATGCATGGATTTCTGCATGACTTCCTAATAAAATGTGTTACTAATAATTTTCTTTTCTGTCATACTTATATGATTTAATTTTTAAAAGTTTAAGTCATGGTTGTGTAAAAGATCTACCTTACAGATCTTTAGCCTTTCTTCTGTCCTCTGATTATACCTGCTATGATGGAGACCTTCATCTACATGCTGAACATCCCCACACATGCTCCTACAGACTTGAGGAATATCATCCTCAACAAGTAATTCATTTCCATATCAGATTTTTCCAATAGATGCTGATGGTGTCGAGCAGAGATTGTATCACAGATGATGTTTTTTTCTTTTAGGTCTGAGGAGGGTTACACCTTCAACAGCTTCACTCTGCAGCTGGAGGGCCTGGATGTCTCGGAGGAGTCCCGATTGGCTGCCTTTCTTTTCATCCTTCTCTCCTATCTGTTTATTGTCGTTGCCAATGTTGGGATCGCTGCTCTGACTTTCCTGGATCAGAGGCTTCACCAGCCCATGTACCTGCTGTTCTTGAACCTTTCAGTCAACGATGTTTTAGGGAACACCGTTGTTCTGCCCCGTTTGCTCCTGGACATCCTTAGGCCGCCCTCTGACCGCCTCATCGGTTACTATGAGTGCGTCCTCCAGGCATTTATCATACACATGTTTAACACTACGTCCCACACCTTGCTCATGATCATGGCCTTCGACAGGTATGTGGCCATCGGTAACCCTCTGCGTTACTCTGTAATAATGACCAATAGAATGCTGGTGAAGCTGACGGCGGGCGCCTGGGGGGTGGCTCTGGTTCTGGTCGGGATTCTGCTGGGTCTGACCATACGGCTGAACCGATGCAGGACGTTCATGAGAAGCATATACTTTAATAACGCTGCATTGTTTCTGCTCTCATGTGACAATATTTTCATCAATAACGCATACGGGCTGACTTTCACCGTGGTTCTCTTCACAGCGTCCATCGGCAGCATGGTTATCACCTACACTAAGATAACTGTGGTCTGTCTGACCAGTAGGAACAATACTTTGAACAAAAAGGCATTAAAAACCTGCAGCACCCATCTGCTTGTTTATCTCATCATGTTCTTAAGCGGAATAATCATCATTATTCTGCATCGCTTTCCTCAATATGCTGAGGCCAAAAAAATCGCTGCTGTTTTGTTTCATGTGGTTCCTGGAATCCTCAACCCCCTCATTTATGGTCTGCAGTCCAAAGAGATACGGAAATATTTCTCAAGGATGTTTTCCTCAAATAAAGTTTTGATGTCATCTTAAAGAAGACTGACTTGGTCTGAAAGCACTTTTTTTTAAAGAAACAACAAATGCTATCTTCATTTGTATGAAATGCTCCAAAGGCTAACCAATGATTAGAACATTGTATAATGTTTTAAGGTTAGAAAAAACCCCAGCATGTCTTCCCCCTTTTGTTCTCTCCTTTCAGCAAATCAGATGAGAGGAATTGATGTGGTGAATCCCAGCAGCAGACCTTTTGTTAACAATATACCATCTCTGTTACTAGAACCCTTTCTCAGAAAACACTTTAGATGCAATTCTGGTTGTTTTTTTTCATACTTTCTTATCATAATAATCAGAGAAGAAGAGCATGACATTGAGAAGAAACACTTCTTCAGCACCTGAAACATTTTTCTGGAGCCCTTTTCCCTGCGTTCAAGTATTACTCCTTTATCTTTTGTCCCTCTAAGCTACTCTGGGATGATGATGGAGTCATGGCTGGTTCCTACGAGCCTAGATCATCATCCCCTACAGCACGGGATGATTAGCTGTGGTTGCTTTTCTCATGCTGCCCATAATTACATTAATGCTTAAAGGCAACTACAATATCACATCTACCTTTGTTATACGAGGCTTAAGTACAAAGGTAAAAAAAAAGCATTACCGGTAATTGTTTCATGAAATTTGGACAATAAAATAATATTTTGGAGTAAGTTCTGTGTTTTTATTAACAAAAATATCCTCCACTTCACAGAGCAGAAAGTGACATCAATACTGCATATATATAATTATATCAATAACAAAGAAGCAGATAAATCTAAGATTCAGACTATGAGAGATTATAGCTGTTAACAGGAGAATGCTGACTGCTTCCAGCCATGATCCAGAACTTTCTTACAGGAACAGACAGGAACATCAGGTACATTCAGACATTATAACCATAGCTTAAGGAAACTAAAGTCAATTTTATTACAAGGAGCACAGTGAAGTAATAATTAATTAACAGAGGTAACCTTTGTTGTGCACTTAAATTGATTGATGTTAACTAATATGCAATCATGAACATGTCCAAATAACTGTGTTTTTAAGAAAAATAATTAAGAGTGAATTCAAGCATGAGAATGGTCTGAAAGTTACCTCTGCACACATATGAAATAAATTCACCAATGCCATTCAAAAAAAAATTCAACGTGTAGACTGTAGAGATAATTGATGTTTACTATGTCATGTTAATATTCCTGAAGAAATACCAGCTGGTTTAGGAACCTTTCAAATGGTGGAGCGAAACTTTATGATGGTCATGAAGGTCTCTTATTGACAGACAGGCAGATGAGTTTCTAGATTATCCACTTAGCTAACAATCTGGTAGCTTATTTAGATTTAAAGCTTCAAAAAAGTACCATTGCTGTGTGGCAGCATGACATCATCTGATAAAGGAGCAAACCTTGTTAGTCAGTGAAAGAACTTTTAGACAAAGGAGCTAAGGGCTAGCAGAAGCAAAGGAACCTTTTATGACACGTTTGGTCTAATGAGTGAATTAGAAAAAAAACTATATGTTAATTTCAAATTAGTAGTTAAGCCTTCATTAAAACACAGTTTGTCATAAATGTTTTAATAACATATGAAACATAGGTAAAGGACGCCAACAGGCCAACAGGCAACAAACTCTTCTGCAAAGCCGATTAAGTTGTTGGAGAGGAGCTGGACTCTGACTGCAGTGTCAGAGAGGAGAATGTTGGCCAGGTTAAAATCCATGCACTTCTGAACATCCTCTTCCTGATGTGCTGGTCGCCCATAGAAGCACCTTCAGTGAGAGACTCGTTTAAAAAATCAGAAATATCCTGTCCTGGGGTGATGCTGAGAAACTAGTCCATGCATTTGTTACTCCAAGGCTGGACTATTGTAATTCTTTACTATCAGGAAGGTCAGCTGATCCAAAATGCTGCAGCCAGAGTTCTGATGAAAATTAAAAAGAGAGATCATATCTCTCCTATCCTAGCATTTCTTAGAGATTCTAGAGGACATAGGGACCCCATTTCATAATTCTTCTTCATTCTATCTCTATTTTCCAACTCTGCAGAATCTTTTAGTTCAATCTCTAACCTTCTGCTCTCTCTGCTTTTTCTCAGAGTAGCTTTGCCTTGTCTGTTCCTGTTTGGCTTTGACACCATCCTGGAGAGAAATATCAGCTGTGCTGCTTCCATCAACACCCTTGTTTAAAGATGTTGGAGATCGGCCTGTTTTTCCAGTGTAGTCCTGTTTCTCTGACTGTGACTAGCTGGATGTGCTCTCTTCATCCTCTGACATGGGAGCTGCTCAGAGCTCTTCTGCCTGGCTGTGTGTTTCCTGGACGGGGCCGCCTTTTACAGCTGCTTTTTGTGTCTCTGCTTCTGTCTCCTTGAACCCCAGTCGGCCTCAGCAGATGGCCGCTCACACTGAGCCTGGTTTCGCTGGAGGCTTCTTCCTGTTAAAAGGGAGTTTTTCCTCTCCACTGTCGCTACAAGCATGCTTAGTGTGAGGGATTGCATTCGAGTCAATGAGTCGATGCAATCAACTGGTTTTCTCTAGATAGAACTTTGAATGAACTTGACTGTATGATCTGGTGAACTGTTAAGTGCCTTAAGATGACATGTGTTGTGAATTGGCGCAAAAGAAATAATTTTAATTGAATTGAAGGGTGTAATTAACTGTTTGTCATTTTACATATTTTATTTGCTTATTTTATTCTGTCTTATCATATTATATTTTATTTTGCTACTTCTGTAAATGGTTGCAGTGTAAGAAAAGAGGGATTAATAAAGTAATTCTGATTCTGGGAGCATCTTGGCACTTGGTTTAAAGGTGCTAACATGGTATATCTGGTAGCTAACCTGCTAGCTTAGCTTTTCATTGTGCTTTTAAAATACAAATTAAATGAACAATACCCCAACTGTCTATAGCTGAGAACAACTTCCCCTGCTTTTGCCAGACCTGGTGCCTCTGCATCTCTAACCCTGACCAGCTTTCAACAGTCCTGCATCTTTGTTTGTTTTTTAGGGATGGCTCGTTGCCTGCCCAGCACCACTCTGTGAATAGAGGTAAACAGATTGACTTGCCACATCCCAAAATCACCCTCATTCCTCTAAGCTTTTACCCAACTTATACTTGCCCCACCAGAATGTCTCCTCCTTGCTCCTATCTGGATCATTACAGTATCTGTCAGGGGCAGTCTTGATTAGATAAATGTCACTTGTATTACCTTTTCATTTCACTCCGTTTTATTTTGTACTCATTTCCTCTCTCGTTTTAGGCAGCTTCACTACCTGAGGTCCTTCCTGCAATCAGGATCTGCCACAGCCTAATGCCATTCACCTGGTGTATGTGCTCCTCTTTTGTTTGTTAGAATATGTAGTTCCCACTCTTGCAGCTTTCCTTTGCCAGTTTGTCTTGGTTCTTAGAGCTTAGCGTTCCAGCCTTTTTGTCTGTTAGACTTAAGCTTTTTAGTGTTTTTACCCAGGCTTTGATTTGGACCTGTCTTTGCTTCTGTTTTGATACCCCTGTTTCTGCTGCATTATTTTGGTATTCAACCCAGGACTGTATTAAAGGAACTTTGAGTTTGAATCCACTGTGTCAGGTCTTGCATTGGAGTCCTTTATTCCTGAGCCATACAACAGTATCAGTGTGGCCTATCAGCCTTCCTGTGTTCCTGCTGTTGGCCTGCCCTCACTGGATTCTCGTCGCCCATATTCTAGACTGTTTCTGTCTGCTACTAGTCTTTTCTATCCGCACACAGTCTGTTCAATGCTTGCTTACATTCTGATCAATGAATATCTGGCTTGTGAAGTCTGCATTCAGCCAGTAAAGCCTGTCACCAGCCGGTTCTGCCTTTACCTGCCTCCTTAAACCTGCTACCCTTCTTTTTCTGCTGGTCACTAACAGGTTTTTGTCTTCACCTGTCTGCTCCAGCTGGCTACCAGTCAGTCTACTTATATTCATAAACATTTTTGATAAACCTTTAAAATTCAGTGTCTGGCTAAATGCGAGGTTCTTAAACAAGTATCAAAGACAATCTGTTTCATCTGTTCCAGTTTAGTGTCTGAAGAACAATGAAAGGATTTTAACCAGCTTTGCATCATAATAGCAACAGCGTCTAAAAACCAAAATCTCCACATAAAGTAGATTCTATAACTTATGGTTTTTACGACTCAGAAGAGAGGACCTAGTATTCAAGGCAAGACATACAGTGGGATTACTCAAAAAAAGTTTATTAAAACAACGGATCTACAGTGGCAGAGGTTTGGGCGTTTAAGGCAGGAACCTCTGCCCCAGAGAAACAGGTTAAAAGCCACGTAACTCTGACAGAGGATGATTATGAACTTGTGAGTCACTAACCTGGTTTAACAGTGCAGTCCATGCCCAGAGAACAAGAAGTGGCACCTGCCGCATATTGCCGGTGGGTGACAATCCAGAGGGTGAAGCCAAAGCCAATGCAGAGGACCTGCTCAGGAAACAGGAAACCAGATTTCCGAAGAGGTTCCAGAGGGAAATCCAGCTGCGTGAAAGAAAAGGAATGAATAATGAGAAACCGGGCAGGATTAGTGAAAGAAGTAATTAAGCCAGTCATCAGTGCCAGTCTCATGACAATGGTGGGTGTGAACCCGACAAACTAATAGTGTAACTAAATCAAAATGTAAACATTTATGTAACGAGTTTATTACACAGTTGATTTAATCCTAAATCCCCCTGATCATCATGTTTTTTTTCAGTTAAACTGTTCAGAAAATGAGACACACTGATTAAATTAAATAACATAAATTTCACAATTTACCAGAGAAATATAGATATCTTAAATTCATCTGTATCTTATCCATAGTCTAATGATCAGGGAAACTTTTAATAATTTTTCCATCAACTAATCTGCTTCACTATGTCTGCTGTACTATGTACTATACTATGGCTGTAATACTATACTATACTATACTATACTATACTATACTATACTATACTATACTATACTATACTATACTATACTATACTATACTATACTATACTATACTATACTATACTATACTATACTATACTATACTATAC